TAATATATGTAAAAGATTTTTATCTTTTAGGTGTGATGATTTGCCACATTTTTAGAGGAAATTTAATGTTCTTAATAAAGAGAATTGCTATTTTTCAATTARCATACATGYTGARTGGTATATAAAACTAGGAAACTAGCCAAAAGTCAGTTTTTCATATTATAAAATTTTTATCGCCTAGGCGACTAGGGCGCCCCAGTGTCGCCCAGAATCGCTTAGACACCTTGAAAACTATGTAAAGCAAATTAGTATTTGACCCCTATGGAATGTTGAAAATGGATATTCAACTCAACGGGGTTTCACTACTCCATTGTGCTCTTGTTTATTGATTTGTCCGTTCATCTTCTTTTAAGCCTCTATTCCTTTATCCAAGGGAATAAAAACATGCTAAAAACTACATTATCAGGCTAAGGCCAGGTCTGGTTGACATCCTTATTGGATTTAATGCGTCAATGAAACACCAAGAGGACAAAATTGAGATGGACTTTGCACCATTGACAAACTGGTCTCTAATAAACATATGCACTGTTATTTTTGTTGATTCATTGAATCATTGAAAGAGGATAGGCATTATCAGTTAAAGGGAAGATCTGCCACAGTGCTTGGAGTGGTGACTCCTTCAAGAGTTGCAGGTCTTTTCTGCTTTATGGTTGGTAGTCCATGCTTAAAAATCCTTTCTGAAATGTGTTTTGGACTTTTTGATTTGATAATTATAAAGCAATTGATAGTAATGCAATGTTATGGTTTCAATTAATCCCAGAGAATCTTGCCTGAAGATTGATGCTTGCCCACCAGTAAAATCACCAGTAGATTTCCACAAAGTATGCTTCCTAGGTTGTGGATTTGTCTCCCGGAAGAACAAAGGCGGATTCATCAACTGAAGGTTCAAAGGTATTTTAGGTTTAAATGTCTTTGGTTAGTAATGAGTAGTAAAAGTAAATTTAGTATGGAAACTTAATGGAAACATATCAATCATATCCTACTTCTACACAATTAAAGTCTTGTTAATATATTCTAACTTTGTGTGCCAGATTGCCAGTATATAATCTTTATGAATCCAGTCAGTCAATTAAGATGGTGCATCTCAACTACCAGCTTATGAAACTAAAAAAGTGAAATAAATAATGGTATAAGAAATGTAAAGTTGACGTCCAATGGATAATCAACAACAATATCCCTTGCGACCAAATCCTCTTATCATGCTTACATGACAATGACATGATGACCCATAATCTAGTATATCCCAATATTCAGAGATTGAGTTTGTAATAGAACTGAGTTTGCTCCAATTACCTCTATTTCAAGTGTCTGAGGCATATTATGATTGCAAGTTGCTTTGATGGAAACTATATCAGACCATAACACTTCTATTTTGTTCTTGAGCATTCCATCCAATACTTCCCATACAAGTTTCCTTTTTGCATAGTAACATTTTGCCACCACTTCCCCATCGTACCGTGAAACACGCTGTGAGTAAATTGTATGGAAAAAAGTTTATATTAACAAGGACAGTACAAGGAAGAATTTAGTGCTTCTAATCAAGAGCATGGAGGCAAAGTATGGTTGAAAAGGAAGCTTTTGAAAAGAACATTAAAACCAAATATTCCTAATTTCAACAAGTGACATTTCTTGTTCATTTCTGCTGTAGGTAATGACCCAAGAAAGCATATTATGATTCATTAAACAGGGACTGTAAGGTTAGATAAACCGGCCATTCCAGATATCAGACTTGGCAACTTGGTATGTTGTTTTCTGTATTCTCATTTTAAATCGGTTGTAATGGTTAAAGGTTTATGCCCCCACTTCTTGTTCTCCGATTTGCTTGTGGGAAGGGTTTTTGAGAAGATACACTTAAAAGGACTGGGTAAGGTTGGAACATCCCCTCTCCCCAAACAAAGGTGTTTTTTAGTTTTCTTCTATTATAAAATTTAAAATTTTAAGATGCCACTCCATCCAGTAAATTTAGGGTTTAGAAAAAATAACTGCATTATGTGTCTATGTATAAATTAGTCAGTGCATTGGCAGTGCAGTTGCCACAAAAGGACTACAATAAAATATCAGTTTATACGAAAACTTTAACTGCCATAAAGGACTACAAATAGGCATATCTTATTTTATATATCCATAAAAGAAAATAACGACTCAAAAGAAAACCAAGGAGATTTTAACATTTCATTTGGAAAATAGCAAAGGAACTGACTTAGACACTGTGTCCTATAAGGAAGATCCAACTAACATAAAATCATCCATATCCACAGCTAACAAAATAGATAAGCGTCTGTTTGAACTGCCACAAAAGACTATATGCAGGCATGTTTTGTGCATCTGTAAAAGAGAATGATGACTGCAAAGAATGGCAAGGAGATTTTAAATTTTATTTGAAAATAACAAAAGCAACTAATTTTGCCCGCTCTGTCCTATAAATAGAAGATCCAAATCAGATAATTACACTCTTACCCAGACCTTATAAAATAAATATGTCTCTGTTTTCACTTTGAATACCAGAGATTTAGTATTCACTATGCATTCTGTTGATGCCATATATAAAACTAAGCAGTTTTTCTACCTCTGGTATCCTAATTCTACCATTTTCCATAATGATAGGCAAGTTTTATAAAATAGCATAGATTATTCCGCAAAGAAATCAATTTATTACCTCCCAAGAGCCAATTTTCAGGAGTGAAGCAGAGAAGTTAGAAGCCTTTGCCTTCCCATTGATTAGTGGAGCACTGGCACCATCATTTGGATTTGTCCTTTTCTCAGAACATGAAAAACTGGAGCAAAATAACTTGCTTTCCAGAAGATCCAAGAAAGATGGAGTTTTTCTCAAAGTCAATCCTAAAGGACTCAAATTTTCTGGTATGGTGAGATAAGAACACTGAGCAAAGAAAATCAATCAGTCTAGTTTCAAGTACCAAACTAAAGCTTATATCCAGATCATAAAGAGTGACAGAGTGAAACTTGGAAAAATTATAACTATAATTCAAACATAAATAAGTAAATACTGGAAAGGTTCTATAAATTATTATATAATTTCAGAGAAAGTCCTGCTCACACTTACGTGTTTAGCTGGGGCCATTAGTTTTAGACGCTTGGATCTTGAATCATGTTCTTCGTCCACCTCCAGTTTGTTAGGTAAAGTGTCCCCGCAGTCGGCACCCAGAAACTCCGTACAGGAGATGACAGAAGTATCCAACTCAAAACTTGATGACAGAGTTTCTGTGATATCTAGGTTCATTGTGCGAGGAAGATTGAGCTCTGAAACAAAAAATGTTCCTAATTCTTGTTGCCTTTGGTTCTTAAAATCCATCACTCAATTTTCCTTTCATATATTATCAATCTCCACAGGGGTATTATATGACAACTCATGGCCTTGATAAAAGTTTGCACCCATAACATCACATACTCCAAAATGCTTTCTCCTGCATATCCATATACAGTGTAAATATTTCTTCTTCATAATTACGGTCTCAAAGAATGCTGTGATGGTCATCTGATTCCCAGCTTAATTCCTGAACATCAATAAAGAATGTCACTATTTGTAACAATTTATAACTATCCTAATCTGAGGATAAACCAAGGCATAAGAACGATGTCCCGAGAGAAGCTGGCTGTTGGTTTGGGGCTCCTAAGAAAAAGGAGAAAAGAATAGGATTTTATCTGTTTGCAAACCATGATTGAGATACCCAAAGGAGTTAAATTGGAATCAGTGGAAAAATTGGAGCAAAAAAAAGTAGAGGAAAAGAACATAACGCTGAGGATAAGGCACCTGAAAGTGAACAGGGTTTATCCTCCGTTCACATAATGATATTTCAAAAATATCAGGAAAAATTAGAAAATGACACAGACAAAAAAGTTTAGGTACGTCACACCCAATTCTTTTATCCACATGTAAAGCAGAGAAACAAAAGTAAATGGATACACTGTTCCAGGAAGAATCAGATGCTCCGGTAGTTTCAGCACCAAATAACTTCTGAAATACTTTTGACTTCTTCGTATGTACAGTGAAAATGCGACAGAAAAGAACCAAACATTGTAACCTTTCTCCTGATTCATAAACTATCACTTATCTTATTCTTAAATATTTGTCCACAAGAACAGATAGATGAACCAGTTGAAGCAAAACAGAAAGTAAGAAACAAGAAACCTTAGCTTAAGAAAACTTGAAAAGTCCGTTAAATACGAAGAAAAACGCCAATATGATAGAAGTTCTTACCGTTCTGTTGAGTGATCAGCTTATTTTGTCAGAACTTGATATTGGAGTTTCAGATAGTATGGCTCTGCTCATCCAATAAAATTGACCTTGATTTCAACGTTAGGTCCGAGAGAATCAGCCGAGTTCATTCCCATAGAATGGCTAGTTAGGGGTATAACCGTAAAAGAACCAAGCGCCATTGCAGCTCTGGTTTTGAAGCTCTGCTCGAAACCGAGTAACCAGCGCTTGACGAGAACGTCGAGAAGGGCTCCTTCTGCTTATATAAGAATCGGGAAAGAAACAAACGGTTACAAGTAGATAATAATCAGCTAATCACCGATGTCGTTTTCCCGGGTACTTTCGTCCTTGTGAAAAATCACATTCGAAGTCTGAAGTTCAAAAGTTCAAACGATGGAATCGCTGGAAGTGGAAGGAATTTGCAGAGAAAATCTCTTTCGGATGACGATGGCGTAAAGGACTCTCGCATCTAACGGCTAGGAATATTAGGTCGGTGACACCTTTCGGTATCTCGACCGTCTACATTTCTGGTGGAGCATCAATCACACCATCATATTCATTCTTTTTTAAAGGGGCATTTTGGGTTTTGGCTATTACAGAGGTGATTTTTGGTCCTGTTATCACAAACTCTGGATCCAAACCCAATCATTATCGGGTCCAACCCAGGCCCAAACACTACAACAGCAAGAAGACTGAACCGCTCCTTATTATGAGAATCGGCCCGAAAGGGGAAGCCCAGTCTAAATTAAGGTTTGTTTGGCAAATCTTTTTTAAAGATCTTTTAAATTTTTTGAAGACTGTTAAATCAGAAGTAAAAAACATTCACATCCTCAAAGCTCGTGGAAACTCAAAACAGTAAAAAACCAGGAAGTTTCAAAGGAAAGCTGCTTTTCATCTTTTTGCAGATAAAAGGGAGATCAAATCAGCCCCCCAGAACGTCCCACAGCACATTCCTTTTGTGTATTGAGAACATCTCTCAATGATAATATAAAAAATGATGATATCATCATCAGGAAATGTTCCCAATATATAACATGGATGTGCTGTGAAACATTGTGGGACTAATTTAAACTCCATAAAACGTTTCATTTAACAGTTCGATAGACAATAAAAGACCAAGATGTTTATCAAAAGATTTTGATCATTAAAAACAAAATCTCAAAACACAATATGCCTTTTAATCATCTGGACTGGATTGTTGAAAAATCTTCTTTAAAGAAACTTACCAAACGGTACCTTAATCCCAGGCCAATATTGTAAATACCCAAGAAGATCGGAGGTTGTAAATTTGTAATTGTTGACGTTGAAATTTGAAAGCTAAAGTTAATTGTCCTTTGTTTGATACTTTACTTAACTACATCGGTTACAGATGCACGCAATATTTTCGGATTAGGTGGGGTTTTGTGGTTAGGGTATATTCTATTCTGGTCGGTAGTCAAATTATCACAGAAGAAGATGATTTGGAATTTGGATATCGAACTCGAACCCATTTTAAAAAGCAAAAGCTTAGATTGAGGGGTAAAAAAGTTGTGAATGGTGCACTAAATATGCTTGACTGATAAACATGTAAACCCATTTATTCTGCGCGGGCGTGGCTTCCATTGATCGATCCATTGACTCGACTTGTGGGGGCAAATGTGCATGGCATGGCTTCACACTAATGCCACGCCCATACATGTGGAAAAGTGAAAGTTATGTTAAGCCAATCTCCTTTCCTTCTAAGCTTACAGGTGCAAACAGGTGGAATCCAGGTCAAGAAAGCTTGTGGGGTCCATGTCCAGGTACACTGCACACCGGAGATTCTGGACCCATTCCCCATTGGGTCCACTAGAAATAGATAAGTCATGAAATTGAAACCTCACCGCAGTTGCAATTAAGTGTATCAATGGATCGGTTTTGGATCAGACCCGTCTAGTCTAAAATCAATTTAGATGGATCGGACAGATCAACAAGATATATTGGATTAGACCAGTTCGGTCTAAAATATTTATTAGATTGAATTGGACCTGGTCCGTTCATAATAAATTTATATTGGATTGGATTGGATTAAGCCAATATCTGGTCCATTGATATAAGATAAGAATATAGTTATCAATAGACCAGATTTGGATTGAAACCAATATAAATCAACACGAATTTGAACAGATTGGATGGTCCAGACATTGAATTGGACCGGTCCAAAATATTCATTGGACTTGGTCCATTTATAATGGACTCACATTGGACTGGATCGGATTAGACCAAACCCAGCCCATTTTTTTTGGTAGAATCTAACAAGATAAAGTTCATTAAAACAAGTAGCAGCATAACAAAAACATCACAAGTTAAGGCTTAATTAAGTCTTGGTTGGCCATACCTTGGACCCACCCAGGTGGATCATGGGAGAACAATCCAAACTCTTTTAGACCTTTTCTAGCTAGCATATGTGCAACAACATTACACGATCTATTTACATGATTAAAAAATATAGCTAAGTCTTCAGTTAGCAGTTTGATATCCATACACAAAAAGTTTGCATCCAAAGTCATATCCAAATTTCCTATCTTCAAAACTTGCACTAGAGTTTGACAATCAGATTCCACTGATATCTCTTCTTGGTTAGATATCAGTGGAAATGGTGACCTTTCCTTGGTTAGATAGATCCAATTAAGATTGTAATCAAGTCAAGTATTAATCTATTCGAGATCGAGATTGAGATTGATTCATAAATATAAAGTTTGAAATCAATTCAAGATCGATCAAGTTTTATGTATTTGCCTCGAACTCAATTCATGTGAATAAAACTCGACTCAAGTTGATACTCACAAGCTACTCAAGCTCAGCTTGATTCGACTCCAATTGAATATACATAAGTATTAAAAATTGTAAATAATTTAATATTATAAATAAAAATCAATTATTATAAATGTATTTATTTATATTATAAATAAGTTAATTTCAAAAAATCAAAAAACATTTGTATTATAAATACAGAAATATTAAAAAAATAATATTTTATTATGAGCTTGATTAGACTTGCGAGCCACTCAAGTTAAATATTGTCAAGTTCAAACTCAACCCAACCAACCACTAGACTAAGTCAAGTTCGAGTATTTAGCATAGGGAGCCCGAGTAGCCGACAAATAAGCTTGGCTCGCTTACACCCCCTATGATTCGACCCAATTGATTAGGCCAAAACTAGTAGGACCCATATCCGATTTATAGCGGGTGGTACATACATCTGATCATAACCGGGTAATCAGGTACCCTTGACACCTAAAACCGATTTTTAGCTAATCGTAACCTTGAAGGCTAACCCTAATTAATCTCTGGTCCCTATGCACACGCAAACAAGTACATAAAGAAATAGGAATAAGGTACAAAGCCAATATCAATCCATCCATGAACACAGAACCTGTTTAGTTATAAATTATAATCCAAAAGTGTCACTTTATATTTGCATCCGTGATTTGTTTGAGAGTCTAAAGGAGGACTATTTCGTCATAAAATAATGCAGAGATGCTCTTGGACTGTGTCTCAAGGCAGTTGTCTAGTGTAAAAGTTAACACTGATGGAGATTGAAGGCATTATAAATTTATAATCAGTTTGTCTTTTATAAATTAGAGAGTATTTAATAAAGTCCTACCTTGGTAGGTTTCAGTGAATTGGATCCTGTCAAGAGTGCGACCCTTTTCAGGTTTAATTCAACACACGAGACATCTGATTTATGGATTAATCAATTAAGAAATACCATGTCCTAGCTGAACAGTTTCACTATCCATCTATCCATCTACAGAAGAGGACAGTCATCGATCAGCTCAAATTTTTTATTGGAAAAATATTCAAAAAGACAACAGAAGTAGAGAGCTATATAAGCTTAATTAACCCTTGGAAAGGGTTGGGAGTTGGGACAAACCTAGTAGTTCCAGGGAAAAATAATTGATTAGTATATAAATTAAAGGAATCAAATTGATACATTGCCGCCCATCCCAAGCCAAGTCCTTCAATGAAACTTAAAACAATGGAGCTGATGCAAAACTAAGCTTAACGGTTAAACAAATCTATTAATTTGTTAAGCAATCCGATTGGTGGCCAACCCATTGACTTGTGCCTCATTTGCCAAGCTATAGTTTTTAAGCGGCAACTCTCTCATCAGAATTAGCCTTCTTGTTTCATAATATTTTATCTTTTTAGGCCTGGTTCGTTTTTCGGAAACCACTTATCTGTGTTTTATTCATGTCCTTTTACTTCTCAGATAAATAAGAAAATGACTTTAGTGTCAGAAAAAAAACCACAGACAATTTTATTCCATTCCAATGTTGTCAATTTCTCCATGATAGAATTCTGTATAGGAGATTAATATCGTTTACTTGGGTAAATGATACCTAAGGAAGTAAATTTTCATAGGTCTCACATAGATCTGAAAAAAAAAAAAGAAAAACATAAATAACTTAAGCCATGTTTAGGAGTGCTTATTTAAATAAGCACTTATTTGTATTTGACATCCAATTTTTTCAAATGCTTACTTTTTTAAATAGGGATTATAGCGAATAAAGACAACTTTTGGTCTCTAATATCAATAAAAATAATACTTTTAATAAAATTTTTAAAATATGTTAATTTTTTAAAAATAATATTAAATAAGAACAAAAATACTATTCATTTTCTTCTTCTTGCAAATCATTCATCGCACTGCCGCTTGTTGCTGCCTCCGCCCACCTCCACCTCTGCCTCTGCCCAAAGCTGCCACTTCCACCCACTTACGACAAAGTTTGATCAAATACGTTTATGACTCTGTAAGTAAAATCTTCTGTAATCACATGTTGCAGAATTCAACTTCACCAGTGGAGCATACAACGTGGCCCAAGTGACAAAAGAAGGATTCGATTCCTGCAACAGCAGCAGCCCTATCGGCTTCGTTCAATCGACCAGTCCTGTGAGAATCATCCTCAACTCCACAAGGCGAGCACTTCTACATCTGCACCTTCATCCAGCACATCGCGTTTGGCCAAAAGTTAGCCATTAACGTTATACTGCCGCTACGGCTCCGACTCCCACCCCTTCCAGATCACCGGCAACTTACATGGTCGGAGACAGCTTGGTTTGGCTTGTCCCTCCAGGTAGCTCTATTGCATAATCCACTTGGGCTTCTGGGAAGACCTTCATGGTCGGGGACACTCTCCGTAAGATTCTAATTACCTCTCTTATCTTTAAGGGGTCTTCTTCTTCTGACGTTTGGCTGAACAATTAATTAATTAGATAGATAGATACTATGGTTTTCAGTGAATCAGTCTCCAATCTGATTCCTCCTCCACGATATTTCTATAGTGTTCAACTTCACCATTGCGCAACACGACGTGGCGGAAGTTACCAAAACAGCTTTCGACAACTGCGATGCCAGCAGCACTATTGGTCCCGTTCAAAACAACGGCCCGGCCACAATCAGCATCACCTCAGCAGGCCAACAAACATCTGTAC